GCGTTTGCTGGGCATCTTTAACAATGGGACACAGAGAGGACTTTGATCATACTTAGTTTATTGCAAACTACAGCTATCTGTCAGTAAGAGGCTCCTGGCCTGGAGCAGGACTTCTGGCTGAATGATTTTATTCAATGAGGGCAAAGGCTAAAAGTTCTTTCTTAGTCTCTGTTTCTTAAAAAAAAAATAACCAACTTAAAATAATCAAGATTCCAAAAGGCATAATTTGGGGTGGTAAACTCTGCTTCCTCCCAAAAGTTGTTGAAGAATTTTAAGGAGGGGAGTGACCAGTTTGCACGTTTAAAAGGTAGTTTGGGGCAGCAGTGGCTGATGTGGAGAGCTGAGGAACAGAAGAGAGAGGCTACTAGTACTTACTGGCAAAGCCAGGCTAGAGATGAGCAGATTTAGGATTCGGACAACAGGGAGGGCGGGATTCGAGCATGCAATTGAACAGGCAGAAAAGAACACTTGGGAAGGTGGAGCAGGGACTCTTGAGATGGAGGCAGGTCACAGAGTTCCTAAAAATGCTTATCGATGCCAAGGACTACAGAGGAGATGAGTGCAGAACAATCGGGGAAAGGTAGTGGCTAGGTTAGAAGAGATTGCCGGTTCCCTTTTCTTCCGAAGCCACATCACCTCGCTTCTCCCAGGGTCTCAAGAATGTCCTTCTCGCCTGGCCAGGTGGCTCAGTAGGTTGGAGCGTTGTCACCAAAAGGCTGAGGGTTCAACTCCTGGTCAGGGCACATACCCAGGTTGTGGGTTGATCCTGGTCAGGGTGCGTACTGGAGGCAACTGACCAATGTTTCTCTCTCACATCGATGTTTCTCTCTGTCCTCCTTCCTCTCTCTCTCAAATCTATAAAAAAAATACCCCGGGTTAAAAGAAAAAAGAATGTCCATCTCTACCACTTATTACAGTCTCTGCAGAGATGAGCTTTGCCCAAGATGCACCTTAAAGCATTCCCTAGCAGTTCTGGTCAGCCCGTCATGTTGCCTAGATCCAGGATGTGCCTCGATCCCACCAGAGATAAAAGATGGAACTCACTTGACAAAAGCATACATTCTTTCTGGCCAGGGAGAGTGTCCATGGGAAAAACAAACAAACAGAGAAAGAAGTCAAAGGATTTCCATGGGAATTTCTGAGAAGCAAGAACGACTAACTTCTGAGGTCAACTGGGGACAGAGTCAGAAGGCCCTGCTCAGGACACCGAGTTGGCTCAAAGCTGGGATTATGGGGAGGAAAGGGGTAACTTGAAACGTTTCCTTGTCTAATCCCAAGGAAAGGTTAGCTTTTTCCTGAGTTGATGACAGGCCCTGCTTATAAAATTCTATCTGTTTCCTTATAACTGTGCACAGGTCAAGTTCTCCTCTTCTTCACTTTCCTCTCTTTTGCTCCATTGCTTCAAACTTTTCCTCATGCTCACATGGCCTTTGGGAGAACATCTCTTGCTAAAGTTACCTCTTGAGTCTTTGAGGGGTAGGAGCATTATCAATAATGGCCTGGTGTCTAATCATTTCCACTTGGGCTCAATTGGAAAGAACTAGGAGCACACCTTCGCTGTTCCTGTTCTAGCAGTAAGGGCCAAGACAGGGATTACCAATCATTGGCATTTCCCTCGCACATAGCAAAGCACTTTTTGGCCACCAAGGAGAGATGATCCTTGCTGGCTCCTTCTGGCACACAGGGAGGAAACGCATTGTTGTAATGAATGATAGAGAGGGGTTTCTGTGCCACCGACACACAAGGCTTGGCTTGGGTCATTGCACACTTCCCAGAAGGTTCAGGGGACTTCCATGGGAAGCCCATGAACTGGCCAAGAATGCTCTACTATAAACTTCCAATGTCACCTCTGCGGCTGCCCAATTCTTCCTCTGAACTCCATTCCCTAGAATCTCTGGAACTCAGGACCTACAGCATGGTTTGTGACCAGTATGAAGGCTTCAGGAGCAATAGATATCAAAGATACATCAGTACTCTTTGATTTAGCAATTCTGTTGCTGGGAAATTAGCTTACATACATGAGTAATGATGTGTGAATATAAAGGTCATTATTGAGGCTTTTGAAATGGCAAATAACCCAAAAGTCCATCAATGAGGAAACTGTTTAAATAAATTGTGGTATATCCACACAATAGTATTCTATTCTAGTGGTAAAACGGAAAGAGGAAACACTTTACATATGGCCATGAAAGCTCTCCAAGATATACTGTTAAGCTAAAAAAGTGAGGTGTAGCGAGGGTGGATTAACTTGCTGCTTTTTGCATTATAAAGAAGGAAAAATGAAGAGCACATATACATTTGAATTTTCTTATGTATTCAAAAAAAAAAAGCAACTGAAAGGACTTAATAAATGAACTCAGTTGCTATCTGGGAGCAAGTTTAGAAATGGGCAGATGGAGGACAGTGTTAGTAGACTTTTCACTGACAGTGATGACAAAACACCAGCTAATAGGTAAATATTAGCTGTTAGTAAATAGAGAAGAGGTTACTGCTTCAGAAACAGATCAACGTTTTAGGTGTTCTTTCCCCCAGGACAATACTGTGGCCTCTTTAAAAAGTATGTCTTTACCTGTGTTTACAAATAGCTCTAGAAGTTTGCTAATTTATGACCAGGCCTCCTCCACAGACACAGCTCCTTGTCACAGGATTTCCCCTTGCCTACCGTGCAGTATGTGACAGACCGAGTGACAGGCAAGCTGTGGGCTGGCAAGTACTTCTCTTATTTCCTTTCTGCTGCAGAATCTTAGGAAGCCTCCTTTTAAATTCTGAATCTGTGGGTTTAATGTCCATGATAATGATACTTTTTTTGTATACTGGTGTGTGTTTTTTATTTGATTGTGGGTTTTTTAAATTTTTCAATTACAGTTGACATTCAGTATGATTTTATTTTTGTTTCAGGTGTTCAGCATAGTGCTTTGACATTTATATAATTCATGAAGTGATCCCCCAATACTTAATGATATTTTTAAAAACAATTTGAACCATGTGACTATTACCTAGTAAAAACTTTTTTTAAAATTGTGATAAGACCTGTCACCAGGAAAGTAACAACCCTGAATCCAACTCCAGTTACTGTCTGGAAATATATTTTCTCTTCTTTATTAAAGCTTGAAGGAAGAACTTCTGGGTTATATAGTGATATGCAAATTAGCACCTTGCTACTATTAATATTTTATCCTTTGTGAAATAAGCTATCTTAGCTATTTTTAAAATATTGATTTTTAGAGAGATAGGAAGGGAGAGGGAGAGAGAAAGAGAAACATCAATGTGAGAGCAGAACGTCGATCGGCTACCTCCTGCACACCTCGCACCGGGAATCAAGCCTGCATCCCTGGCATGCACCCTGACTGGGAATCAAACCAGCAACCTTTTGGTGCATGGAATGACACCCAACCAACTGAGTCACACCAGCCAAGGATATCTTATCTCTTAATAGTTAGTAAGTCACTCAAAATGATCCAGAATCATCTTAACCCCTGAAGAGGGTTAAGATCTCCCTTGGAATAGTATTCTAACATGACGCTGAGAACCATGGTCTTTTCACACAAAGCGAGCCCCGACTGTGACAGGAGTAGCTCAGGATTGTGTGAGCCTTACAAAGAATCACAAAGTGAAATTCGCTTCTCTAAATATTTAACACTAGAGGCCTAGTGCACGAAATTCATGCACTCAGGCGGGGGAGGGGGGGGAATCCCTCGGCCCAGCCTGTGCCCTCTCGTATTCTGGGAGCCCTCAGGGGATGTCCCACAGAAGCAGGCCTAAGCTGTCAGTTGGGCATCTTTAGTGCGGCCACGGAGACGGAGAGGCTCCTGCCACCACGGCTGAGCCTGGCTTCTGGCTCAGCGGTGCTCACCCTATGGGAGCGCACTGACCACCTGGGGCAGCTCCTGCATTGAGCATCTGCCTCCTGGTGGTCAGTGTGCGTCATAGGAACCAGTCATTCCATTGATTGGTCAATTTGCATATTACCCTTTTATTATATAGGATCTAACAACTAGCAGATCAATCTAATATACTTATTCTGTCAGACAAAATTAGTTTACTGTTACCTACCAGAACATTTTTTAAATAATAAATATCTTAAATTCTTGATGAGATAGCATTCCCTAGGGTTGTCCAGCACACAACATGCCCAACCATACTGGGCAGCCCTGAGTAGGTTGTGTTAAGTGGCCCAGCATCCCCCAAGTGGCAGCACAGCCCCTAACAGGCCACAATATCATGACTGCAGCTCAGGTTGGCTCACCACACTTTACAGAGTTGGCTGCAAAGAGACAATTCTACCTAAATAGCTTCAGATAATTTATTACCTCCACATGATGTGAGGTCAGCACTGGGTCAGCTCCCCATGTTCCTAGTCCCATAGGATGAGACCAAATCAGGGGGACCATGTGACACTGAGGAGATTACTCCAAACTAAAGCCAAGCAGCTTTGTAGCTTGCAGCCATAACCTGCAGTGGACTGAGAGTACTGTGCTTCATTGAGATAAAGAAAGGTAAGGTGGCAATCTCAAGAAAAGAGGGTGGCCTCATGGTAGTTATTCATAAGCCAGCTTATCTTCCTTAGTTTCCGAAGGAACCTTAGGGCTTTCAACCACAATTTGGGCCAGACTGCAGTTAAGCTTTGCCTAGTGGCCTGAGTGAAGACGTGCATGTCACCAGGGCTCCAGGGTGGAGCTGTTCCCCTACAATGAATGATGAAATATGGCAGAGTTTAGACATTTTTGATAGCACAAAAGGACAAGAAAGACAAGGAGAGAGAAGATAAAGAGCCTAAAATAAATAGAACTTATTGACACACAAATTGCAAGAGTCAGGAATTGATTCTGAGGAGGATTTGTGCAAACGGTTGCAAGAAGGCTCCAGCTCTCTGCATTGCTCACTGCTGGGGGCCAGGGAGAAGGTGGCTTTGGCTGAGGAGGGAAGAGAAGGCAGACACCAAAACAACAGCCCATCACAGCCCCTCTGCTTGTTCCTTAAAGGTCTTCCACTTCAACACGATGGTACTGCCCCCCAAAATGAGGCCACTGCTGTTGTTCCTGGCTTCCCAGATGGCCATCTTCATTCTATACATCCATTTGTACAGCCACAACTTCAACTCCCTGTCTGCGAGGGAGGGGCCCAAGCCCACGCGTGTGCTGGTCCTGTCTTCCTGGCGCTCTGGCTCGTCTTTTGTGGGGCAGCTTTTCGGGCAGCACCCGGATGTCTTCTACCTGATGGAGCCTGCCTGGCACGTCTGGATGACCTTCACACAAAGCACCTCCAGGAACTTGCATATGGCGGTGCGGGATCTGATACGGTCCATCTTTCTGTGTGACATGAGCGTCTTTGATGCCTACATGAAACCTGGTCCCCGAATACAGTCCAGCCTGTTCCAGTGGGAAACCAGCCGGGCTCTGTGTTCCCCGCCTGCCTGCAACGCCTTCCCACGGGATACCATCATACCGAGTGCTCACTGCAAGACCCTATGCAGCAAACAGCCCTTTGAGATGGTGGAGAAGGCCTGCCGCAACTACAGCCACGTGGTGCTCAAGGAGGTGCGCTTCTTCAACCTGCAGGTGCTCTACCCGCTGCTGAGGGACCCTTCCCTCAATCTGCACATCGTGCACCTGGTTCGGGACCCCCGGGCGGTGTTCCGTTCCAGAGAACACACCACAAGTGAACTCATGATTGACAGCCAAATTGTGATGGGACAGGAGCAGCAGAAACTCCAGGAGGACGACAAACCCTACTATGTGATGCAGGTTATCTGTCAAAGCCAGCTGGAGATCTATAAGGCTGCTCAGACCTTGCCCAAAGCCCTCAAGCAGCGCTACCTGCTCGTGCGCTATGAGGACGTGGTCCAGGACCCCCTGGCCCAGACTGCCCGAATGTATGAATATGCAGGGTTGAAATTCTTGCCACACCTCCAGGCCTGGGTGCACAACATCACTCGAGGCAAGGGCACAGGTAGCCACTCCTTCAAAACAGATTCCAGGGATGCCCTCAGTATCTCCCAGGCCTGGCGCCAGTCCTTGCCTTATGAAAAGGTTTCTCGACTTCAGAAAGTCTGTGGTGATACCATGAACTTGCTGGGCTACCGCCTCGTCAGATCTGAGCAAGAGCAGAGAAACCTGTCGCTGGGTCTTCTGTCTACTTGGACCCCTTGAGGAGGCTCTGTCCCCATTGGCACCAGCCTCAGCCACATTAACTGAAGGCTGCTTATGTCTGAACATTGCTTATTCTCTGCTGGTATGTACACGTGAGCACAAGCCGTGCCCACACATGCTCAAGCCAAGAAAGCTTTATAGCTCTATTCAGGTCTAGAAAAGAGACTCAGTAACTGTGTGCATGTGTGTGTGGCACATTCCACCACTGGAGAAGGAATACTGCCATCTCTCCTTAGCCTTCCTATCTGTGTATACCTCAGAGACTTTGTGGCTGGGGTCCTATTTGGTACCACACAGTATCAGTGGAGTAAATCCATTAACTTCTCTGTCCATATCCTGCCCAATGGGAAAGGGGAGAGACAGGAAATGGGTCTTCCAGTAAAGAGCCCATAAGTCCATTCCACAGAGATGTGAACTCTGAGCTCTCAGAGTTCCCAGTGGATTCAAAGAGGGGGTGAGGAACAGGATTGGACACTTACCCATGAGGTTGGACATCAGTTATCCATTATCCGTTATCACAAATATAAAACAAAATCTCTGCACAACAGAGCAAGCTCTTAAGTTTATGAGGTGGCTGGGCCTGATTTCCACGTCATTTCTCCTCAGTGTTTTCCTAATACATAGAAGATTTTGACCTGGGAAGCTACCATTTGTTAACATTAAAATTCCAAAATAAGATTCTGTTTAGAATGTCCACTTTATGTTTTCTAATTTTCTTAATAGTAAATGCTCCTTAGAGGATCCCAATCTAAGAGCATAATCATCTCCACATATATTTTTCTCTTGTTATTATCTACTAGAGGCCCGGTGCACGACATTCGTGCACTGTCGGGGGAGGGTGTCCCTCAGCTCGGCCTGTGCCCTCTCACAGTCGGGACCCCTCGGGGGATGTCCGCCTTCCAGCTTAGCAGGAGCAGGCCTAAGCTGGCTGTTAGACATCCCCCAAGGGGTCCTTAGCACTGCCACGGAGGCGGGAGAAGCTCTTGCTGCTGGGCTCGCCAGCTGTGAGCCCGGCTTCTGGCTGAGCACCACTCCCCCTGTGGGAGCGCATTGACCACCAGGGGGCAGCTCTTGCATTCAGCGTCTTCCCCTTGGTGGTCAGGGTGCATCATAGCAACCTGTCATTGTGCCATTCAGTCAATTTGCATATTAGCCTTTTATTATATAGGATCACCCACACATAGAAAAGTTACCAAGATGTCCAGTGTCAGACGATAAAGTAAGTCTAAACTGATCAATACTAATTGAAACATTGCCCTCTTAAGAATTTGTAGAAAGTAGACAACCAGCAACCAAGCCCTTTCTTTCTTGTGTGAGGCATAAGTTGTAATGATACCTTATGCATCACTCTAGAGCAGTGGTTCTAGCCGCAGTCCTTTAATACAGTTCCTCATGTTGTGGTGACCTCCAACCATAAAATTATTTTTATTGCTACTTCATAACTGTAATTTTGTTACTGTTATGAATCGTAATGTAAATATCTGATATGCAGGATGTGTTTTCATTGTTACAAATTGAACATAATTAAAGCACAGTGATTAATCACAAAAACAATATGTAATTATATATGTGTTTTCCGATGGTCTTAGGTGACCCCTGTAAAGGGTCGTTCAACCCCCAAAGGGGTCTCGACCCACAGGTTGAGAACCGCTGCTCTAGAGTCTGGGTAAGGAGTTTTTTAAATCTGATCCCTCAGCCACGGACCTCAGTCCCAGTATGACTGGTGATACTGAGCCCTTCCTAGTCACTTCTCCTAACAAGAAAAGTTGTTTCTCTCAGTCTTTGCGACATTCCCCAGATTTAGCTGTGTATCAGAATCATCAGTTAAAAATGCATTTTGCTGGAATTGGAATCTCCCAGGACAGGGGATGGGATTATATAAAATAAGTGACCAGGTGACTCTTTCATGGCCAGCCTGGCAATTGGCACCAGCGCTGTTGGCCTTCCTGCTCCAAGACAGGTGACTTTTCATGGCATGCCAAGTGTCTATACCACTTACTCCTGATATTGCTGCTGTCCTCAGGTTGGAAGGCACTGGAAGAAGGTCTAAATCTATCTGGGAACTCCATGGACCTCTGAGTCCTAACTTTTAAAATATTTCATTCTGTCCAAACTTGAAAGGTAACATCATTTCATCTTTATGTTTCAACATGCTTAAGTAGCTACCTCTGCCAGCTGTGTCTTTGAAGTTAATTTATATGGGGCTTTAAAGGAGTGAATTTATTCTATTATCCAAATCCAAGCCACTCTAGACACACCTCAAGAGCCTAGGATCTCCCAGGCAAATGTTCTTGCTTCCACAAACATAAGACAGTGTAGCTGTAGCATAAAGCCATGCTATATAACCTCTTTAAAAATCGGACCCAGTGTTGAGCAAGACTTAGTGAGCACTTAGTCTCCTGTCCATGTGCTCAGGTGGCTGACACTGGAATTCACTGATGAAGGTGGCAGCACACTAATTGTGGTATAGGGGGAGTCTGAGAACCTGTGACGAGCCTAGAAGATGGTGTTCTGCTGAACATCCTTCCTAATTTGGAGACATCTGTTCCATCCCTAAATCCAAGCAACAGAAAGGCACCTATTTGCCTGCTCAGCTTATGTAGCTGCAGGGGATCTGAGGTGTTTAAACACAGATGAGAGGGCATTTTATCTAAATTTCTCAGGGCTAGTATGCAAGTTTGGGGAATGAGCTCTCTCCTGTCTAGATCAAACAAAGTGGGTTGAACTGCCTTATTTCAGGTCAGCAATTGATGTTTTCACAAAAACCATACTGGGAATCTACCCTAAGCTCTCCACTTTGGGGAGAGAAAGGAGTCAAAACATTTTAGATAGTTTTTTGGAGGGTGAGAAAGAGATCATTTTGAAACAAAGGGGCTTAGACTGACTGGCATTTAACTGTGTTACTAGATGGCTTCCTTATCCATATAATGAGAACAATTGCTAAGTTTTTAGTAAATGTTAATTAAAACTATCCTTTTCAACTTATGAATAGTATTTATGGAGAGAGATGGGAAGGTTGAATCAACTTCCGATTATTTTTGTGCAAAAATCTTCCATTATATTGCCTGTAACGTGTTTCTCAAAAAATAGTTTATAGCCCTGGCCAGGTGGCTCCATTGGTTGGAGTGTTGTCCTCTATACCAAAAGGTTTTGGGTTTGATTCCTGGGCAATACCTAGGTTATGGGTTCAATCCCCAGTCGGGCACATATGGGAGGCAATGTTTCTCACATCAATGTTTCTCTCTCTTTCCCTCCTTCCCTCTTTCTAAAAGTCAATAAACATATCATCAGGTGTGAATTAAAAAAAATTTTAAATACAGTTTATAATTTACTATGTGATTTAAACCCAAGCTAAATATAAATTAATTTTACAGACTATGTCATTATCATGACTTCTATTAATTACTTTCACAGACCAGCAAAGCAAAATTTAAAATGAATATATGTGACAAAGGCCAGATAACAATAAATCTCTGATAGACATTAGTTTAGGATTCCCAATAACCTATCAAGGGTTTTGCCCCTCTTCTGCACAAATGTTCCCTGTCATTAAGAGAAAGGTTACTTTTTAAATGCAGTATTGCCCTGGCCGGTTTGGCTCAGTGGATAGAGCAGTGATGGCGAACCTTTTGAGCTCGGCATGTCAGCATTGTGAAAAACCCTAACTTAACTCTGGTGCCATGTCACATATACAAATTTTTTGATATTTGCAACCATAGTAAAACCAAGATTTATATTTTTGATATTTATTTTATATATTTAAATGCCATTTAACAAAGAAAAATCAACCAAAAAAATGAGTTCGCGTGTCATCTCTGACACGCGTGTCATAGGTTCACCATCACTGGGACAGAGTGTCGGCCTGCAGACTGAAAGGTCCCGGATTCGATGCCAGTCAAGGGCACATGCCCGGGTTGCGGGCTCAATCCCCAGTAGCGGGCATGCAGGAGGCAGCCAATCAATGATTCTCTCTTATCATTGATGTTTCTATCTCTCTCTCCCTCTCCTTTCCTCTCCAAAATCAATAAAAATTTATAAAAGAGAAAGAGAGAGAGAGAGAGAGAGAGAGAGAGAGAGAAAGGTTACTTTTTAAATGCAGTATTGAGGGAAAAGTAATGATAAATAACCAGAGTAAGGAGATTTGAATATAGCATTTCCATTAAAGGGTTCTTCATTAATTTCATACATTAAATGGGCATCTACTATATGCCAAGGTATGTCCTAGGTGCTATGGATACAGCAGAAAAGCACAGGCAAAGCCCCTCCTTTCATGCAGCTTATATTTCAGTTGGGGAGTGGCACAATAAGCAATAAATATATGATCATATGTATTACAAGCAGTAGTAGATTAGGATAAGGAGCTAGGGGTGAAGGGCAGTAATGTTATAAAGACGGTGATAAGGAACGTTATTACTGAGGAAGTGATATTTGAGCACAGATGCTTATGCAGCAGACATCTGGAGCAAAGTGCCCCATTAAATGCCAATGTCAATATGGACAGAAACAATAAGCGTCTAGTGAGAGCCTGTCATGTGCTCGGTGCTATGCTGAATTTGTACAGAATGAAGAAGTACAGATGTTATAGGAAGGACAGTATGACAGGAAGGTTATATGCTCATGAGCACATGGGCTCTGGAACTATGCTGCCCAGGTGTCTCTTATTACCAGCTGGGTGAGCTCAGGCAAGTCCCTTAACATCTCCATGTCTCAGATCCTTCAGCTGTAGGGTGGGTACAATAATGGCAGTACAGAGCGCACTTAGCAAGTGTCTGGCACACACGCAGGCACTCCCTAAGTGTCAGCTGTGAATATCATGCTAACACCTGGTCTTGGCTCTCAAGGACTGTCTTCCATCATTTCTGGTAACATCCTCATTAAGGTGATGCTTAACAGTAGATCACGAGCCCTTTATGGCATTGCTGATCATACTGATAGTGATTAGGAGATCCATAGCTTCCTGATCTTCTGGTTTCTCTTCAGCAGAAGTTCTAACTGGAGGC